CGCTACTTACGGACAAACATTTCTCGATGAACCACATGACACGACAGTATTTGAAGGAGACTCATTAACACTTCCATGTACTCTTGGTCCGGATTTATTAACCGATAAAAAAGGAGTATGGGTATTCTGGTTGTATAACGATGGTCAACTCAAATACGGTAAGAAAAGATATAAATGGACCCATGATATACCACATTACGATCTTCACATTACTAACCTAGAATTAACTGATTCTGGTAATTACCAGTGCGTGGTTTACATCAATAATCGATATGCTGGTAATTCTAAAACAGGATATGTTAATGTAATCGATAAACCTTATGTTCTTGAATCCCCCACTGATGTCACAACCGTGGAGGGTGAATCAGTGATTTTAACGTGCACTCTCGCCCAGTGCGACTCTGAAAAATTCGACTTTTTCTGGTATCGTGACGATGTCAACGTCGCAACAAACTACGATGTTTTGACTGGATATTTAATCGAAGAAAATGGTAATGGTGTATTCAATTTAAACATAACTACATCAACAATGGAAAACGAAGGGAAATATCAGTGCGCATGCGTTTATCGAGGTCATAATGCATTGAAAACGGTTTCCAGAAAAGGTATTTTGAAAATTCTTTCCAAACCAAGTTGCTCACAGAAACCCGCATCGAATTTATTTACGAAAGGCGATGACCTTACCACGGAGTGCCGAAATACGGGCGATGTGAACGCGAGTTTGTTTTGGGTTATAAAAAACGTATCTCTCCCTGTAACCCCTGTATCGCGCAATACATCATATATTCGCCAAAAATGGAAACTGACTTATGAGAATGACGGTGATGTCATAATATGCGTCATGAAACACCCTAGAATACAAGATTACGAAGCATGTACGATTGGTCCGGTCACTGTCATTCAATCCACAACATCAACATACTTATATTCCATAGCAACGTCAAACCCCGCTACCACGGAACACGAGAGTACATCGGACACATCACCTACTATTTACATCGTTGTATACTGTGTAGCTGCAGTTGTACCTGCTGTGATTACCATTGCTGCTGTTGTGTTCGTCTGTCGACGGAGGCCCCGGGGAGAAGGAGAAGACCGCACTGTTGCCAAAAGAGAAACAGGTTCAGCATCGAGCACTTCAAATCAAAATAGAACTACGGATCAGGGTGTAAACAAGTTCAATTCATTGGAATAGGAAGCAAATAAGCACTATGCCTCAAACCCGGAAGGTGATCGCATAATTCAGTGTGTTCGGCAACACAGAATCCATGCTATTGGATGAACAACGATGAACGAGCATGACTATTTATCCTTAGTAATTTAATTATATTGTTATAAACTGAAGACTCATCACGTGGTGAAACTTATAACTGACAATTGCATATATAACAACACGTGTGTTTTATTCCTGAACGATCGGACTACTATACTACTTTTAGACGCTTGGTAAAAAGTACACTATAAAGACGAGCTGAAATTATGAGCGTGTTTTAAAGCAATCCAACCATGACCTAAAATGGATACACATCATGACGGATAAAAGTCGATGTAATATGTACGTCACCTTGAAGCTCCTTGGGTTCCAATAACACAGTGTTGGAGAATGAAAATTAGCTGGTCATATACAACCCTGTCATGAATTTAATTGTACTTCAATGCAAATGTGATTATATTTCAAAAGATAAACCTCTCTCTCTTAATACTGATTTCACGACCAACTATAGTAGCAGTCATTATAATGGTAAATTTACTTATGATATATTTAAGTACTGTAAAATGACTAATTTTCACTGGGTTTAAATTTTACTAATTTAGCATTTAGATAATGTGTTCTATGCTCAATTTTACATATTCACTGGGTTTTAATTTGGCACATTTTCCAGTCAGCGAAATTAAAATTAAAACCCAGTGAATAATTACCCCCTTTACAGTATGGTGTATATTCAGCAAATGCACGTTAAAAGCAGATCGCAGTACGACCATAAAAATGCAAAATTTGGATATGAGTATAGTGACGGCAAAAGTGTATAACATTAACGTGCATTTTCACAGTTAGCCTACAGCGATTTATGCGTCATATTTTTTTACCAACTGAACCATAATAAAATATTAATATAGTTTTGTAACTTGTGTATCGGATATCCTAATGTAATATTTACTTTATCCAAAATGATACAAGTATTTACAAGTTATCAGAATACTGTGTATGAAAATGTGAGACATTCAGATAACTCATTAGCCTTTAATGAACTATTCAAAAAAGTTAAGCTCTAAATTTGATTTCGCTGCAGCTAACAAAGACAATAAACGAAAATTAATGTCATACTTTGTCACCTTATAATATTTACATGTAACGTTAAAAATCATGCTGCTAGGGGTGAGCTAGGTCAACCGAGTTCAAGGTCGCATTATCGCACTGATTTTTATCCTGGTAAATTTTCATCGAGTTCATGAGTTGTACCAGAGTTGCCACTATACGTAATACAGCTCAATTTGTTTACCTCGCGTTTAAGAAACGAGACGCTCTTCTGAGAGTAAATTAATTATTTTGTTCTGTATATACATGTATTGTGTACCCTCAACTATTGTATATTGTATATGTAATATTGTACTTTTGAAACAGTGGTCTATAGAACATAATAAATATATTGTATTGTATAAATTATTAAATGGATGAGTGTCGATTTAAATGGTTAGCAGTCTGGTGGATGTCAAGCTGGAGCATGCATTGTCAACAACTTATGTTATGCCGATGTCACGTGTATCATAGCGCCCTCCATTAAGGGTGTACGTAAACATATTCGTTTTAGAGAGCTACATGCCAATTAACAGGACAAACTGTCATACTTCTCTAGTAGCAATAGATTGCATCGTATCCAGAAAATGCAATTGTGCAGTCAAAATACCGAACTAGTTGATAACTTTTATTCCCTTGGTTATAGATAATGACCACCTGAAACATCAGTTTTAATTTTGTAGGAAACGAATTTATTTCGCTGTGTAAGTTTGCCAACTGTAGTAGTAAAGTTAATTGTGTTTTTATTTAAACCATTTTTCTCCACGTCTACATTTGTCAGTTTTGATGTGGCTTTAGAAAGTCATCTCTTAACGCTCTCAGAGTGTGGTATAAAAGTACTTGTTTGGACATTCTTATGACCGTAGTATAAGCGTAAAGTCGTGTAAATAATTTTAACAGTTAATAATAAAAAATGAAAGCAGGAAACCTCGTCTACCCGCCATATTTAATAACACAAGTTTATGTGAGCAATAAAAACAAATACGCATTCGCTACTCGTACATGATGATACTTTTGGTCATGCGTCCGGTTTAAGTCAATGTGAAATCGCGTCCTTTTACACTAAACGCCGCGTGTAGACCAATTTTCCGGGAGTACCGAGATTGGGGTGCAGAAATACGCCTGTTTCGTCATAGCAGAAAGTACAAACATGTCAGTCTGATGTTATTCGATAGAATGGAATTTTATTTTTGTGACGTCGATTGGTACACCTATATAGCTAGAAGCTTCATATCAAGCATACTAGTAATATCTGACATGCGCGCGCATGCGAAACGACATATCTTCGACTTCCGGGAAAGTGGTTTTATCATAGCTTACTTCGATGTGTCACAGTTTATTAAATTTTGTAACACAAAAAAGGTCTGAACACACAACAAGCAGTGTTTAGATGACGTAAGCAAGGTATATATCATCATAAAATGATCAGAATATGTATGCCTTTTTGCTCGTTAACAGGGTATTCGAGCGAGTAAACACACACACCCACACGCCCACACATCAGTACTACTTGTCCTTAACTTCCGTTTGTTCTCTCCGTACACCGAACGCCATGCGTACTGAAAAAGTAAAAGTGCTATTGCTTCACTAAACTTCCATTAACATGCTTCTCTGCTATACATGTTTGAAATTCCATTTGCCAAACCGTGCATACCTCACATATTGACGCAGGTATGGCATATCATGCAACTGCCACTTGCCGTGTTAACACGCCCATATACTCGATGAATCAGTCCGAGATTTCCACTCACCGACCAATGAAATAACGGACCAACTTAGAGATCTAATTTTAATTTACTTCAATCTATTTATTTTAATATTGTGAATGAATTTACAAGCGACATATCAACTAAAATACAATTTCAATTACACATCACATTTGGGACATTTTAAAAATGGCTCGCCAAGACTGAGTAAAGGCAACATTTTTGAGAGACTTGAATTTGAATTCATAATTACGGTCAACACACTGCAGTACCACATTTATTCAGTTTGTATAATATGAAGGCGAAAACTGGAGTGTGACCCGCAATAAACATTGTACAATTATGATAGACACTGAGATATATATTCGTCGCATACTTCCTAGTTGCGTGTATACGTATATACTGTAGAATACTTTATTTTCGCTTGGAATTTATTTTCGCTATTTTTGCGGAAGGTATGCTTCAGTGACAATAAAATCCAGAGAGTATACTTTTTTTCCTATATTTCACATTCAACTCATCAGAATGAGTGAAAATAAATTCCATACAAAACACCCAAAAAGCCTTTTCAGTGAAAATTAATTCCAGCTAAAATAAAGTCTTCTACAGTATATACCTGGTCGCGCAACATTATGTTTATGTTTATATAATAGTTGTATATATAAGTATATATCAGGTGACCTGATATAACATATAAATAATGTATCTAGTGTATTCAAACTTCAGACTTCTACAGTAGTCTGAGTTCAAACCAATCAAAGTACAATACGAAAAGAACATAGTTCATATTTTCCAGAATTGTGACAAACAATTCACTCTATATCATATTGATACTATAATAGCTCTTATTGTTAATCGCGGGGTTATAGGTCAAACATCGGGTCAAGCATGTCACTGACGGGTTTCTAAGTATAGCCAAGTATTTTGTAACCACTCCGGAAGTGCGTCTTCGCTTTCGTTTACTTGGTCAGTTCATTCGCAGATTGCCTCGTCCAGCCATGAAACTAGTCGGTGTTCAAACTCTTGTGTTATATTCAGTCACAATTTTTACAACCTTCGTGGCTACTTACGGGCTAACATTTCTATATGAACCACACGACGTGACACTGTTTGAAGGAGACTCATTAACAATTCCGTGCACGCTTAGTTCCCGTCTAACCAATGTACAGGTGTACTGGTACAACAATACTCGTCAGATCAGCTTCGACAACTTGAGATATGAATTGAATGGTATTTTACGATACGATCTTCAAATTACTGACCTTGAACTATCTGATTCGGGTAACTATAGTTGCTTGGTATACATAAATGGTGAATATGTTGCTACATCACGGACAGGAAATGTGAATGTAATCTTGAAACCTTATTTCCGGAAGATTCCTTCTGACGTCATAACCGTGGAAGGCGAAACTGTAGTTTTAACGTATACGCTCGCTAACTTTGACGCAAATAAATTCGACATTTACTGGAACCGTGACAAGATCAAAATCGCAAAAAACTACGATATATTTAAAGGACCGCGGTATTCAATTGAAGGGAATGGCAATGGTGTATTCGATCTAATCATAAACACATCAACAGTGGAATATAGCGGACAATACCAGTGTGCATGCGTTTATCAAAGTGGCGGTGCATTAATTACGGTCTCCGGAAAAACGAATTTGAAAATCCTTTCCAAACCAAGTTGCTCACAGAATCCTATGTCAAATTACTATATGGAAGGCGAGTATCTTATCACGGAGTGTCGAAATACGGGAGATGCGGAAACGAGATTGTCTTGGCGTAATAAAGGAAACGCGCCAATGTCAGTAACTCCCACATCCCACAATGCGTCATACATTCGACGAGAGTGGAAACTAACTTCTGAGAACAACGGTGATGTTATAATATGTGTCATGAAACATCCCGCAATTGAAGAACAAGTATGTATGATTGGTCCGATCACTGTAATTCAAGTTACGACCTCCAGGTATTTCATTTCCATAGCAACGTCAAACCCCACGACCAAACTCGTATCCAAACACGAGGAAATAGTCACATCATCCTCAGGTTCCGTTTACATCGTTATTTACTGTATAACATCACTTGTGGCTGTTGTTATTACCGTCATTTCTGTCGTTGTCATTTGGCGGAAAAAGTCACACTTTTGCAAAGAAAAGAAACATGGTCAACGGCGGACATTTTCATATATGAACGAAACAACGGATCGGGCTGAAAACGACCACATATTATTGGAAAGGGAACGGGGCGTAAACAACGTTGAAGTAGATGATGAACGGCTGTCTTTAAATGAAAGCACTGAACCTAACACCGTCACGTATGCCACGGTCGGGGAACGCCAGGCAAGAACAGCCAGTAACTCGGACTTGAACAGCGCCCGCTACGAAAATTTACCCCAATTACCAAATCGCCTCAATGACCCAGATTCTCAAAATACGGAATCTAACAATGACGATGGTTTAGTGTATGCCGAACTTGAGCTTGACGATCAGTCGACATCGCTGCCACTTCAAAATGACGATAAAGTATCGTACGCTGAACTGAAACGCTGTTAACTGGAATTACCAGGCTCTCGGATTTTACACTCAGATTGGCCAATGATATTTCCGATGATATCTAGTTGGTATACATGATACAGAGCTTTCTAAGAGAGGACAACATTGCATACTAAATAAATCGACGATAACAACGCACGCTAAAAACGCAAAGGCTCATGGGTAGACGTTTGTTTGTAAACAATGACACGCTATGGCCATCAGACGATGGGCAGGTGACGACTCCCCCGCTTTAAGTTGGCATACCATTTCCAAGACCGGCCAAAATCTAGTATCATTTCTAATTTGCAATCTTTCTAATTTTAGATGTTTAGTACGGAATTTAATTTCATTTTACGTTGCTTTTAAATATTATTTACAAACTGACTTATATTTTGAATTTTCAATTTCCAGTATGTATTCAATTAGTACCTAAATTTATATTTTCATATCGAGCCTTCTCGCTTACCCTGGGCGCCAGTAAATCTTTGATCACTAGTATGCTTCCGTTGCATAACGACTGACGTGGCCAGCATTACAACGAAATGCTATTCAATTTGCAAATAGCTGGGAATTCAACTTGCTAATGTGAATTCAAAATACAACAAAATTTTAATCGTAAATGTACTTAAATGCAAATCATATTCAAAATGAAATCGAGTATTCATTTTAGGACTAAAACATAATTTCATATGTTAATTCAAGACGGGACTACATACTGTTGTTACTGTAATGATCTGCAACAATAGTTTTACGATATATCACCGCATTTTATCATATTCTGTAAAATGAAATACGCCAGGAGACTAGTATAACACGAGAATTGGCGGATTGACGACGTGTTCTTATCAGCTGAACTCGTATTCACAGAATACTCCCACGAAGGATGTTATTTACACGCAATGTATTATACATAATGACATTATACACAGTATTTTAACGCAAGACGAAGAAAACTACTAATTATACGGAAACTAAGTATGTTTGAATACATATAGAAGATATACATTATGATATGATATGATATGATATTATTATACCTCATAGCCCTGTCATCCAATCAGATTCGCGCATTTTGTGGTCGATATATTTGTATATTACGCAGACGTTATAATCTCCGATTCATCGTTGAGGATTGTCGGTGTTTTCTCGGAGAATCGCCTTCCATTTGTAAACAGATCGAAGAACTGTAACATTATTTCAATTTGCATTACTTGGGATGAGTTATGTTCCATGTCAATACTTGTAAACGGAAAATAATGATCGAACAACAAAATGATATCGGTCGGTCGACTGTAATCGCCGCACAAAGTAATTAGCCAGTGCTGATAACTTACATTTCGCACGGTATTCCAAAATGTGTTGACGTCGTACCGAGGTTTAGTGCTAATTTTAATTACTTTTTCGTGTATCGTACATACATGTTGATTTCATTAAATCGTTTATGTAACCGGAAATGCGCTGTTATATTGCGTTTTATATAGGTCCGAGTGGCCCCCAGAAAAGTGTCCACGCAATGGGAGTCTTTGTGGTTAGTGTGCTGTGTGTGTGTGTCTGTTCCACTGATATTTGAATAACAGATTTTAATATTAATTACCCAATTTGCATATTAATTAGCAAATTTTAAGCATTTTCACTTGCTTCTCATGTACTATTAAACAGATTTCAATAAAACGTGGTACATATATGGTCTGGGATAATGCGAAGACCTGATCAGTGTTTCGTTAAAATCTGTGCATTATAATTACGTAGTTTGCATACTAATACCACATTTATGCATTTTCACTTGTTTCTAATGCACTATCCAACAAATTTCAATGAAACATAGAGTTTCTCCTGGATAATGCACAGACCTGATTAGTTTTGGTTGAAATTTCATGCATATCAATAACCTAACTTAAATATTAATTAGCTAATTTTAAGTATTTTCATTTGCTTCTCATGTACAATGAAACAGATTTCAATGAAAATTTGGTACATAGATACTCTGGGATAATGCGCAGTACTGATTAGTTTTGATTGAAATCCTGTGCATAAGAATTGCCCAATATGCATATTAATTATCCAATTTTAAACATTTCGACTTTTTCTCAAGAACTATAAAACAGACTTCAATAAAACCTGGTATATACACATGCAGATGACTAGGGATAAGCCATGCCTCAAGTACCTTCAGCACACGGGAGTTATTTCTAAGCTTTCTTTGATTGTCTGTGCGCGCGTCAATGTGTAAACGTCGCGGCTTCCGCAATGTCAAACTGTCGCCTGTAGCTAGTTGATACATACAACAATCTTAATTGTGATAGTCATTTTTGAAGAGATTCACTTCGGTCAACAATGCTCTGTTCGGGTCGACAAATCTGTATATCAACCTAATAGAAAATTGACATGCTCGTTAATTAGAGACAGACGAATCTATTTAAAGGGCGGCAGTCGTCGCGCTGCGCATGTGCGACATTTGTGTTGATAAACATTGATTTTCCCACAATCCAATGCGCTCTTCTAATGGAAATCACGAGTATGAGGTTTGATGTGGGCGCCGCGATTTGCACTAATTACCGCGACTCCTTTGATACCTTCCAATTACCTGAAAAAATACCTAATTTAAAGCATGGAAACGTCCCAGTGTGTACTCGTTGATCTGCACAACAGTCAAAGTCGCCATCATTGTTTATATGAGACCCATATATCTCGTGCATGCATGGCGCGACGACAACCGCCCTTTAAATTGAATGCCTACAAGTTTTAGTTAGTCGACACATTATTGATTGCAACGTATTGTACTTCCACATATGAATTTATTTTCACTACACAACCGGTACCTACCCACCAATTCAGTGGCGAGTTGACACCAGTCTCGCATCGATCACACATTTACTATATAATACTATGGAACTGTTATTTTCTAAGAAAGGTGTGTGTCGCCCTCTATGTTTTGGGGCGAGTGTGATGTGCGGAACATTAATTTTCTTGCCTAATATTACGTTGCTTATCATGACTGGGTTTTTTTCATTCTATAATTGTTGAGGTGGGTATCATGACCCTACAGGTTAATTATTGACAGTAATGTACATTATGAACAATGTCTAATAATTTTACATGATAGCGATTCTTGTCAGTGTTTTGTGAAAATGTCCAGAAGAGGGCGTGAATTACTAGAATCAGAAATATTGTACGCTGTATTTTATAAGTTAAGGTATGTAAATTTGAATAACTAAGTCTTACATTTAATTTGAGGGTAAGTTTAAGCGAAAATCATCTGATTTCGAAATTGGTGGACTTGCACCATATTGAGAACTCATCTGGCCAACGAGACCTCAGAATATCATACTGCTATTTCAGATACTGTTTTATTCCATATCTCGTGTCTTTTTGTAGAGATTAGTCAAATGCCGGTCAGATGAAATTTTTTTTGGATAGTGTATAGGACCATTAAAACGTCAAAGGTACAGGCGGGTTCGGCGATTTAATCGAGCATGTAGTCATCTTGAATGTATTTACATGATGGAAGTTATTGAGTTATGAGTGTAATTATTGCCTTTATTGGTTTCAAAATAGTACATGGGGCTAAGTGAATCTGTATTTTTCATATACCTGGAGTACTAAGGTGCTTTATTTAAAAATACAATATTATGGGTTAAGCACGTCATCAGGCTTCAAACTAATTCTTGAATCACTGCATGCCAAATTGATTGGTTTGGTCAGGATTCGATAAATATTGTAAATTAAGAAATGTTCACACATGTGTATATTTCCATTTCTTAATTGATGGATTTCCTCGTAATGTAATTTTTTTTTCAGATTTGTTTCCATAATTCCACACCAATGTATTTGTCTATTGTTTTATCTCAAAGCAATTCGAATTGCATTTATTCTTGGCAGTAGCGAAAGTATTGTACCTCACATATATTCATTACAGATAACATTTTTCCATTACAAATAATCCGTGAGTATTATAACCTATTATAAATGTTGGCGGAAATCACACTGCTGATTATGCAAATTAGCCACTCTCCGTGTGTCAGATAGTTTCAGATTTAAGCATCCCAGAATAGGCCTTGTTTTTGGTAATATTTAAGTTTATCTACAAAAGTGAGTCTAGTGACTAACAAGAACAAATCGCATATAATCTCAAATGGTTTGCACATTATCGATCAGAGAATCGTTTTCAAATCTTTTGTATGATACTATTTATTATAATAGTACGAGATATATCTTCATGTTTATCAGGCTTTCAAGAATATTTATTCTAGCACATATACTTTATACCAACACACAAAAATATATAACAATCTTACAAATATTTCACGTGACTTTTTTTTTCTAATCGTCCATATGACTGGAGTTTTAATTCCTAAATATTCAAAATGACACAAATTATGAATTTAACATCAAAAGCTGATCATAAAGTAACGCAATTCGTAATAACGCTGCATTTAAACTAATCTAGAATTTATTTTGCATCTCATTTGCATTTAAATTTCGTTTGTAAATTTCATTTTATTCAATTTAACTGTAAAATTGTCTAAGTTTGTCAAAGATTGTCGATAAAAACTGGATTTAAGTTTCTGGCAAATTTGAATAGCAAACTTGCATAGTATAAGCCCTTATCATCTTTGATGGACTGGGGAAGAGGCAATATCAGTTATAATTCAAGTTCAAATATTCGGAACATTCGTATATTTCGTGTGAACTATTTATGGCTGTAGACAATTTCATTATCAAACGCACGTGATCGCAGGAGATGGGATAATAATGTTCATGATATGAATATATGTGATCTCAAATTGTCAAATTGTAGCCTATGTATACGTATTCAATAAAATGAAAACCATTAAATACTTTGTGTTATTCATTGGGAAATGGAATTACTCTTATTCAAGTTATTCAAGAAGACACAAGTAACTAAAGTGCATCATGAGTGCAGCTTTATTTATAAAATGTATTCTCTATTATAATGATATTAACTATTTTTAAGCATGGTAACTAATTCTAATATTCACTCAGAGAGGGAGAGATGG